TGATAAAAATCACATATTCGCAAAGAGGATCAAGCGGGAATGCTTAGAGTGGAACAGCCGGAGGGAACGCGAAATGGGAAAACTTGAATCCGTCGGCAAATAGAAAGGTTGGACGGCCGCGTCTAAACGCAAATGGAGCGATACGATGCGAGAAAGCGGCCGTTTTAACGACACGACGTTACCATTAAAGCTGGCGTTTTTCGCAAAACTTGGCTCGCCGGACGGAAGCTTAGTCAGCAGTGGCGCGTCACTCCGCGCGAGCGATAGCCAATCACGAGGCCGGGTGAGTTCGCAGCCGCGCGGAATCGCGCACGCGCCTCGCGGAATCAGCAGCGTTGACGATGACTCGCTACGGAAAAATGGCGTAAGACGAGTCGGACGTTGGCGAATTTCTCGAGGGTGCAGAAAGTCCAGAGTCATCCTCTGAATAAAATGGGTATCTAATTCCCCACTTCAGATCAAAATTCAAGATCGGGTCCACCGAAGACCTAAAAAAAGTTCTTTTTCCGATTGTCGCACCTACACTGGAAAACAAATCCGCTTGGATCGTGAGTCCAGACTCTTGAAAACAATGACAAGAAAAAATACTCTTGATTCAATCGGATTTTTGCTTGAATTAAAAGGAAAACCGCTTAAATTAAGAGGCTCCGTTCTTGACATAAGTAAAAATCCGATTGAATCAAGAGTATTTTTTCTTGTCAATGTTTTTAAGAGTTTGGACTCTAGATCCAAGCGGCTTTTTTTCCAGTGTACGTCATCGGTCACCGATCAACGTAACGGACCAGCGAAAACTTGGATTGCAATTACCTTCACACTTTTTTACCGCTGAAACGCAGTATGAGAGAAAAAATAAGTATATAGGGTTCCCTAATTTTTCCCCCTTCTCATGAGGGTCCCGATCCATTCCACGCGCCCACGCTGATCACGTGGTTAGGAACTCTCTACACCCCTGGCAATTTCTCGACGGTTAGATAATTATTTTTGAGAGCATAACGCACGTGTTCGCCAAAATTTTTCGGTTCCATCGGAAAAGTCGCGAAGAACGGACTCTGAAAAATTCTAGGAGGAAAACTAATTCAACATTCTTTCAGAAAATCTGGATTTAGGTGGGAAATATTCCAAATGATCGTGCGAAGTTTTCCGACGCACGACGGAGGGGTAGCCAGTCCACGTCTTGCGGTCATCACGTGGCACGACGAAAACGTTGTATTCTACCATATTGTGGAAAAACATCGTATGAACCTTCAGGCGTTGCCAAATTTCTTTCAGTGAATCAAGTATTTTCGAAAAATCTGTAAATATTTCTCTTCCAATTTTTCGGATAATTTTCTTCGCAATTTCACCTGAAGTTCCTGAAAATTTCAAGGAAAAATATTCATAACCTTCCTCAAAGATAGCATTTTTATCGGAGGAACTCTGGCAACTCTCGAATGTTCATACGGCGTTCTTCCTTAATACGGCAGTTTTGCAGATAAATTGGATATCGAGAGGGAGGTAGCGGAAAATTCGACCGAAATTCCTAACTATCCACTTCAAAAGAATCCGCCTGGCGAATAAATTCGAAACAATACTTCGCGCCAACGAACGTTGCTGCTTGAACCGCAATTTCCGCCTCGCCCACGATAACTCATTAAAACAACGGGTCCGAGGGAGTTAAAAAATGGGATACTTCGGAACACTGGTCCTTGCGTCAGTTGTTCCCTCGCAGGAAAAGAGAAAAATTAGGGGACGAGGGAGGCTTTCTAACAAGTCCTGTGATGTAAGAGTAGACTATTACACAATGGCGAGTCCACCCGGAAGGGTGGCGGGAGGGTCGGGGGCACGAAAGGAAGTTGAAGCAAGTGAAGGGACTAATTTAAACAAATGATTGTGGTTCTACAACCACACGCCAGATTCAGGTGTAATTTCAATAGAGAAGTTGATGTTTCTTAACTTACATTTTATTTGTACCTTTTTAATCTTTCGTTTAAAATAATATTAGCCAAGGCGAATGACCTCGAAAAAAAAAGAACAGTAAGGGGATGAGGTTTGTGTTTTCCTATCACTCCATCGTGGATAGGTTTCAAAATTCGAAAGTTGAGCCTCCGTAAAACTTAAACCAAGAGAGGTGAATTTTTGTCTATGGATGCCCCTTGAGCTGCCGCCGAAAGTGTTACGTCAAACCGGGATCTAAAAATCACAAACAGGTGTCGAGAAATCTCGAGACAGGATTGGATCATAATTTCACAGCCTCTCAATAACACTGACGCGCTAAGGAAGCCTGCCATCTGTGCATTCCAAAGTTGCCGAATTTTCCTCGATTAAATTATTTTTTTTGCCATCAATATTCCTTAATATCATGACTGTCAATATGCACAACTTCTCGAAATTAAAAATTTCGTGCGGCAAAACAGGGCGACGTCAAAATACTCATACGACGTTCCTCCTCGGCCGACAATCGCTCCGGCTCAAAAGAAGAACCGAATCGACTATTTCATTCTATTCCCTTTGTCCCCGGTGATGAATGGAGACCGGTGGTGACGGCGGGGAGTGAAACCTGATCTATCTCAACGTCCCGAAAAATCGTTCCTCGGGGGGTAGAAACGGGGTCAGGTAGATCGGAAAATAGGCAGGGCTCCACTTGACTGAGGTGGCGCAGTGTCCCCGGCTGCAAGATCGCGGTGCGACTACGGGGCTTCCGTGGTGGGCATCCCTGTTCCCGGGACGATCCGGCACCGCGGGATCTTTCCCCATCCCTCGGCGGGAGAGGGAGGGCTTCTGGCGCTGAGGTTTTGGACCCGTAACGGTGCACCATCGCGGCGGGATGCACCATTGCACCAGGCCGAGGGTCTCCAGACACCTTCGCGTCTGTGTCTGGATTTCGGGGGATCTTCCGAGGATACGTTCGAGTCAGCTGTTGGAATGACTTCCACATGGTAGGCTAGCATAGAATCCCTCGATTTCTTCAGATGTTTTCATTGCGATGAAGACCATGGAGGAGTTATTTGCGATGAACATGTATTAGCTTCGCAAAATTTCTATGGTTGTGCAGCTTGAAGTGTACTTCGTAGTAAGCCAAACGAACAAACAAGGTAAATACTTTCACGGAAAAATGAGAATAAATCGCCGTTTCCCGCACAAAGGAACGTAACTTCATTCCACGGTTGCAAAATTGACTCAAACAATTCAATTTTTTACGAGAATAACCATGCATAATTTTCGTCAAAAAATTTTCTGATTTTTGCAGAAGATCACAAGAAAAATTGATGAAATTTTCAGTCAGAATTTCTCAAAATTCTCCTGGTAAAAATGCAATTTACGCGAAAAAATCTGTCAAAATTGAAATGAAGTTACATTTTTTCGTGAGAAAAACTACAAGATTTTTCAGGGAGAAGTTGCCAATGGGCTTTCAAGGCGCTTAACTGCAAAATACGCATCAAGTAACTATTGTCAAAGTATTGCAAAGCTGATAGGTGCTGGAATATGAGATAGAAATATCAATGAGTTAATCGGATTGTCTATTTGTGGAGAATTTCCGATACAACTTATGTGTCATTAGATGCCTCACGTATGGGTGCTCTTACGGATGAGCTAGATATATGTAGTTGCAAAATGAAATACAATTTCACATAATGTTGCTGATCTGGCAACGTTGAGCGTGCTAGAAGCGCGAACGGCGCAGAAACGAGAGATATTGCTGATCCGAGATTCAAAGTTCGCGTAACTCGGGTTCTTACCGCATCGGCATGGCTCCGAGTCAGCGGGTTCGCTGCGATCGTGAAAAATCGCAAGTTCACTGGCTGCAATGAGTCAGAGCTCAAGCGCCGGCGATTGGAGAGCGCACGGCGCAATACTGCAGTGCTAAGGAGGAACATCGTATGAGACTTCAAATGTTGCCAAGTTTCCTCCGATAAAAACCGGCATTACTGAGAAAATAATGGATATTTTTCTTCAAAATTTTCAGACAGTCTTGCACGCAGCTTAATCTAAAATATCTGAAAATTTCAAGGAAAAATATGCACGAATTTTGTCAAAAATACATGTTTTATCAAAGGAAATTTGGCAGCTCTGGATTGTTCATACGGCGTTTTTCCTTAGCATCGCAGAATACCTCCTGACCGGTCAAGCTCAAAAACAGCAGGTGGCGACGTATGAAAAAAATGCAATGGTGAATTTTCTTCGGAAAATACAGTAAAAAGAGAGGGTGATAACGACTTGCGGATTTGCACCCACCGCAGAGAAAAGGGCAATGTGCACGCGAAAATCAGCCGAAGTGTCAAACTCGGTCATTTTTTAAACGGGTCTAATGAAAAATTGAATTTTAAGCAATTTTATTACTTGGCAGTTTTCTTCGATGTATTCGCCGTTTCCGAGATATTTCCGATCGGTGAGTCCGGAATTTTTCAGGTTCCACCATGCATAAATTAGAGCGCGACTTTAACACTGCCATACTGAGGAAAAACGCCGTATGAATCTTCAGGCATAGCCAAATTGCCTTTGATAAAACATGAATTTTCTGGTAAATATATAGATCTTTTTTCCAATTGGTCAGATAATTTTGTTCGCAATTTCACCTGAAGTTGCTAAAAATGTCAAGGAAAAATATTCATAAGTTGCCTCAAAAATTAACATTTTATCGAAGGAAATTTGGCAACTCTCGAATGTTCATACGGCGTTCTTCCTTAGCACGGCAGAACAGACATTTGATAAAGTAAGGCACAAAAAAGAGCGAAATAAATTGTCTGAGAGAGAGAATGATCGAGTTCTTAGCCGAGACTTGAACCAAGATCGGAATTTTCCTCCGGATGGTGACAGAACATGAATAAAGTTTCTAAAAAAGTGCCTTCAGAAAAGTTCACTTTTTTTCTTAATTATATCTCAAAAACTACTCCCAAACAACCCACTCTACCACTCAAAGTTCAGTGAGTTGATTCTCTAACTACCATACAACAGAAAAACGAAGAGAGGGTCTGACAGATCAAAAACGGATGCAAAACAATAGTCGTGGCGATTGAACTTACAGGAAGGCTGACTGAAAAATATCACTGGCAGGATATTTCATTTTTGTTTCTTGCATTTATGCACTATTGGGAGCGATCTGATTCTGAGTGATCCGCGAACGCACTTCATGAAAAGAATTTACAAATATTGGAATACTTGGGATTGTTACGGTACACGCTCAGGCGATAACACTTCAAACCGCGGTTGGATTCAAATGGGATTTCATTGAACAAATTATTTTCCTCACGAGAACCAAGTCTTTGCAAATAATAAAACGGAGAGGCAATATTTCTTTGAGCAGTTCTGCACTCCTTCGACGAAATTGCTCCTTTGAAGGCTCACATTTTAGCAGGGCTTTACTCATCATCCTTAACTTCGGAACTTCGGAAGCCAAGTTGTAAAACCTCACCTGGAACAGACAAAAAATTAACTTCCATTAGTTACCACGCCAAACATAAACAGCCCTTCAAGCGGCAAAAATTTAGAGTAATTTGTTTCCGTTGTCGATTCTTCCTTTCCGTCACGAAAGAACGTACCTACATTTCAATGTTGCCAAATTTCCCTTCGTAAATTACAATTTTACGAGGGGACTTTTGGGCATTTCTGACTGAAAATCTACTTGATTTTTCTTCTAATCTCATGCAAAGGCGAAACAAATTTTGGCTAAAGTTGCTGAAGTGCTTTCTTGTAAAAAATTGAATTGTTTGAGTCAAGTTTGCAACCTTGAAATGAAATTACGTTTCTTCGTCCGGAAAACGACGAATTATGATATCGGGGAAAAAAAACATGCCATAAACCCAACTTAGTGAGGTTTGTATAATCAACTGAGAGGAGAACAACACAAGACGAAAATCCCCGTATGATAGATTTTCCTGCGAGGAGGATTTCCAAATTTCCGTGTCCCGCGCATTCAGCGAAAAACGGCGAGTTATTTGAAATGGGCTATCCTTGAAAATTAAAAAAAATAGCATATTGTTTCACATATGTATAATCCCCTTCACTAAAATTCGGCTCCTCAAACTTTCCCATTCGAAAATTCCGCTGAAAATTGAATGTTCTAGACAAAATTTAAAATTTAAAGCAATATACGCTGTTGGTGACTACACGTTTTTCTCACGCAGCCCAGGAATGCGGACTGATAGGAAGGAATGTAAATAAAATTCACCACGAATTACTTCACAATTTAGCTGAGGTCCCTGCGAATACCTAGATTTTTCTTCAAAACATAGCAAGAACGAAAATCTAAGAATAAGAAATCCAAGAACGTGGTCTGGCGTGCAAGTAATTGAACCCTGCGTATTTTCGTTGATGGCGACTTTTTCACGTGAATGGAGCTGGGAAATGGAGAGCGCCGCCCATGCAACATTTCGGAATTACTCCCGCCACCTCTCACCTTTCACCGTGTCATTAAGAATATTTAAATGAAACTTTCAGTCGAGCTCCTATTGCGCCGTAAATATCCTTGTGATTTACTCGGAACTTTCGCGAACTTCAGGATCCACCCCTCCGATTTGAAGTTCAATTTACGGCGAGAAGATAGGTTCGTGCTCCGAGACGAAAATCTAGCTCCGTCGTGTAATTTACACTCGGTTAGAGAAAAGTTCTTTATAAGGTTGCAAATATAATTTATTACATTTGAAACAGTTGATTTTGTTCTATCAAATAAGATTTCATTCCGTTCCCTTGAAAGCTATTCATTTTTTGTGAGCAGTTCATTTACACTTTCACAGAACTTTCGTCATATGCAAATGATGATTTGAAGAATAAAAAAATTATTCTTTCATTTGACTGAAAGGAATTTGCGTCATCGATTTGAATTCACGTTTATTTCGTTTAAATAAAATCAGTAACAGTGGCGAGGCGTGAGTGATCGATTATAGATACTTCCTTATTTGAAGCTGTGGTAAAAAGTCGATAGTTACACTAGAAAAAAACACATTGGATCTAGAGTCCAGACTCTTGAAAACATTGACAAGAAAAAATACTCTTGATGCAATCGAATTTTTGCTTGAATCAAAACGAAATCCGCTTAAATTAAGAGGCTTGGTTCTTGATGGACTCTAGATCCAATGTGTATTGTTGCCAGTGTAAGGCATTCCTTGCAAAAAAAAAAAAATAAAAAATAAAAAAATAAAAAAAAAAATAAAATAAATCCTTTTCTCCTTTTAGTGCGTTACCTTTTCGATTTGAGCTGAATCGACTAGCCAGACCTCGGAATTTTTTCGAATTCCTAGAGCAATTATTGATTGGCTGTCTCTTGAAAATTGTATTAGCTTTTGTCTATAGCAGCAGAGCAAGAGCGGTGTTGGATGAGCATCGAACAATCGAACAGGTCCGACGCAATGCATTTTATCTTATCTCTAGGGGCGGCCAAGTGTAGGAATAACACTCGAAACAAATTAGAACACTTTATTTTAAGTCCGCGTTTCCGTCCTCGCATTTGTAGAAAAAGCGAATGACCACAAGTGAATCCGAATATGACGCGGAGAAACAAACAAACGGGAGATCGAGATGTGATTCGAAGTGTTGTGAGAGCCAGGCTCTGGGAAAAATTATATGGCGTGTGAATACAGGGTGTCCTCTAAAACAGGCTGGCCAAAAATCAGTATACTTACACCCTACTTTTTCAGTACATCCCCAAGAGTTTTAGTACCTTCTTAACAAAATAATTCAGTACTTTTACAGTACCTCCGTTAGACGAAATTCGCAACATTTCAAAAATGTGGATTATTCGCTCATATTGCGACAAAAATGGAGAAAATTCCGGACTTTCCTGTGAATGGAAAAAGAACCGTCGGATTCTGTCGGATGCCTTGCCACATCAAAATTTTCTGTCGCCTCAGCATGGTTACTTCGTTATTAAACTCAAAGAGCGCACAAAATAAGAAACTCTGCAAAATGAGTCACAGCTGCAATGAAATCTGCAAAACCAGACGCCACATGTTGGTTACCAACCCGGATTCTCAGCCACTGTTTTCCTTGCTTTCGCTGCAAGATAAGTTTCGTTTTTCGAGCATGTGAGGGAAGAAAAAACCTCACGACAAAATTGAGGTTTCTTCAAACGAGAGAGCGCTGCTTTCAACGAGAGCGCGTTCTGAAAAACGACGGTGGTTTAAAATTGCTGGGGTCCCCTGCAGGAAATAAATAAAAGGAGAAGAAATCCCCGGTTTTTTTATGAAGGATTCCCTGATATACTCAATGGTTTGTCGTCATTTGATAGAAACCGAGAATTTCACCACCAAACCAGCTTTTTCATGAGTGAGTTTACGATTAAAATTTCAATGCTTTTTCATTTGTTGAAAAGAATCCCAAAAGATCCCATGTATTTGGGGTTATGACAAAGATAGCAATTGGCCATTTCTACTTCCCGCCCGCCTATCGAACGACCGCTCCACGTGTGATACGTTTTTTCGTAATCCACCACCAATCTAAAGTTTCAAGATCGTTGTGTGCAAGACAAATCGCTTAAAAATTCACTCAACAACCAACAGGAGTGTATGTCAAAGTTTGAAATGACGAGGCCCCGAAAGTAACCACTTCTACCATTGTCGAGAAACCAGTAGAAGGTCCCTCCTTCGGATTGCAGGACGGCAACGCTGTCGACGATGGCAACATCGCGAAAAGAGAGTATCGTAAGTCGTATGGGCGCGGGGAGGGGGTGACGGTGCCGGGGGGAGGGGGGCGGCGGGCTAGGTCGNAATTTTACAGGAGTCTTTTCTACAGTATGTACTATCGATCTACTTCTTAAAATCTAACTTTTTCCAAACTTCACTTTTTCGATTTATTGCCGCTTAAACCGGCTATTCGGACCATAGTGCGGCGTTGCGTTGCGGGGTGCGAATCGCGGGGTGAGCGGGGCGGGGCGGGGGTGTCGATGGCAACGTCGCTTCCTTTAATATTTTTATTGCTCCGTTGGAGAAGTTGATTGAGAAAAGAAAACAGGGAAATAACCGTGCTGCCACGTCGCGTCCATTCTCGGGGCTCCGATGCCAAACCGGAGTAAAGAGAAAATACGCTGCTCACTGGAAAAAAACACATTGGATCTGGAGTCCAGACTCTTGAAAACACTGACAAGGAAAAAATACTCTTGGTTCAATCAGATTATTGCTTAAATCAAAAGGAAATCCGCTCAAATTAAGAGGCTTGGTTCTTGATTTAAGCTAAAATCCGATTGAATCAAGAGTATTTTTTCTTGTCGATGTTTTTAAGAGTTCGGACTCTAGATCCAATGTGTTTTTTTTTTCCAGTGCTGCACTAAAGAAGAACGCCGTATAAGCCTCCAGAGGTTGCCGAATTTTATTTGATAAAATAAGGATTATATCGGGAGGATCTGGAAAACATTTTCCGCCGATTTTTCAGAGAATTTAATTCGCGATCAGATCCCAATTAAATATCTGAAAATTTCAAGTGAAAATATTCATTACTCTCCTACAAAATAAACACTTTGTTGCAGAAAATTTGGCAATTCTCGAATGTTCATACGGCGTTCTTCCTTGACATGACAGTATAGGTTGGAGGAGGAAATTCGAAACCTGGTGAGCGCCGTCTCATCAGGTGTTGCTAAGATTGGACAGCTGTTTTTCCGCTTTGACGCGAATCCGGAAGCTTGAGAAGAACTGGTTCAATTCTACAAATTAGACAAAAGTTAAGACAACATGCCCTGATAAAGAGTCCACGAAACGAATCCATTTAGATTCTCAAACATCGAAATAACTACGTGCACAATCTTAGCAACGCATGGGCGCTAAGCAGGTTTGAAATTTCCGCTCTTCCGTGGAGGGAAGAAATTCGAAACCTGGGTAAGAACCATCACTGCCATATTATCAAGGGTCGCTAGACGCTAACAGGTTGTGCAGCTGTTTTTTCCATGTAACACGAATCCACTGCCCAGAGGATAAAACCTTTTGTCGTGAAAATCGGACAATATGGAGAAAAAATTTCCGAATAAAAAGCACACGAGACGACGGCATTCTATAGCTGCTTCAACTTCATTGCAGAGATGAGCCAATCTAGGCTTCTCGAGTTCAAATTTACGGGCCTAAAATAAATCGTCAATCATTTACCGAGATGGTAGTATAGATTCTAATATCTGATATAAATCACTCCGTGATAATTAAACACACATGACGTAATTCGCCCGAGCTGTTTCGAGAGTGATTGATGGGAGAGACGTTCTAACGAACTGATAACGGTGAAAGTTGCTGTTACGATCGAGCGTTCGGCAATAGTAGCGATGACCTGTAAAACATGGGCAATGTCAGCTCAACGGAAGCTTAAAAAATGTACAGAATTTGTGTAAACTAATACCAAACTGGCTCCCGCAAAATCTGCTCATTTTGGAACCTTCACAGCCTCTTCGCTGTATCCCGCATGTATCATTTCACTAGAGGAAGGCGTTACATAGTACTT